TGCTAGTAAGTTTACCAAGCATTTTCCATGCAGAAAACTGGTGCACATCTCACTCCCAAGGCACATATAACTAAGAATATTCTCATTTCTCATAGCACTGAAGTGGACTGTTAGTACCAGTCATTGCAAGTACGACCAGATTTTTCTTGCTTCAGATACAGCACATTAACAAGACATGCCACAAGTCACCTGTGAAGAACATGGAAACATTTACGAAAAACTGCACTCAATTCTTTAAGCAGGTTAGCTTTGTTTGCAATGAGTGAGCAAAATGGGTTACTCCTGGAAGTCTAAAGTCAAGGGATGCGTTCCACAGAATACTGGAGATTATTCAAAGTATTAGGATACATTAATGATCTTTACATTAAATTTAGACATTGTCCCTTCCCTCCCCCGCAAAACATCACACACTTAAGGTTAGCAAACTAGAGTTCAAGCAACCAACCTACTAGTTATGTCATTCATTGCAACAGGTCACAGATTGCCTCACCGCCAAAGAACATGACACATATTTCTCATGACCCATTTGACTTGAGATTAACCGTAAATTCATTTCAATTAGGAGATTTTATGCTGAACTAAACGTTAGGCTTGCCGAACATTGTTATCCATCCCATGAGAAGTCAGTGCCTTGCTCATGAAATGCAAAAAGGAAAAGTTATGGCAAGCTTCTCTCCTGGTGCTACGTCGCCAAAGATCCAAAAGCAAACGCCTTTCCATTGTAGCTCCTCTCTGGGTTCAAAGGGTGAAGTGATCATTCCGGACACAAACCACCGAGTGCCTCAAACAGGAGGCCTGCGCCTGCCACAACGATACACGTGGCTTTGGGGAGCTCCCAAGGACGATCAGGAAGCAAGAGTTGGTTGGAGTGGAAACACTAGCTCTGAAATTTAACTCACCCAGAGATTTCCAGAGAAAGGAGACCCCGCAAGACTCCCGAGCCCTCACAACTAACAAGGCTTCCTCAACAAACGGGTTATCCAGACAAAAGGCCCTTCAGAGGCATTAAATAGTTACTGATTTGAGAGAGAAATCAAGCTTCTTCCCCCAGTACAACTCCAAGGGAACCTAACAAACGCAAAGGAAAGGAAGAGGCAGGGAAGCTGCCCAAGTAGCACTGACTTTGTTAGTAAAAATCATGGAGCAAGTTTGAGAGATGGGGCTGATGAGAAGCGAGTGCATGAGGAAAACCGCTTTCAGGAGTTTTCTTCTGGAAGGAAGAAAAGTTAAGAAGAGATGAAACTAGATTTTAATCCTATTTGTACTCTTTCCAGTGCATTTCAGGTTTGACTAAAGAACGCATACCAATGGCAGATACCCTTTCTGCCTAACTCTCCAGATCAGCATTTTGAGAAAGTTTTGGCAGTTTCAGGACAAATAAAGTGAGCATAACTTCCAGGTTTTCAAGTATTTTGTTTCTTCTTGGCAACATGGCAATTCAGTTTTAATAAATCACATGGTAGATAACACGAACGATACAAACTGAACTGCAATTTGCAGTAACAAGGTTTGGTTTAGCTCCTAGGTTCAGTGTCAGTATAGTAATTCGAGACTGAAAATGTTTATTAAAACTAAACTGTTCTGGGTCTGCTTCAATAGGATTGTGGAAAACCTTGCCAAAAAGTCCTGAATTGCAAACTTTAGGTATCCATTTCCAGATGCATGGCAACAATAGAAAACCATTTAATTCACTGGAATCTGAAAAGCCTTTTTTTGTGCAGTAAGTTGTAAAAATCCTCAGTGATGAATACTGCCTTTATCACTCATGGCATGTTAATTTCTGCCCTACTCAGCTGCAGAATACTAAAGTCTTTCAGCATGATGTTGAGCTCCCCTCAAATTCAGCATGCTGAGCTCCCCTCTCTAAACATAAATGCTCATTACTCTAGTTACAAGCTATGGAGATACTAGCAAGAGAGGAAAAGGAAGTGCCACTGGATTAGACTCATAGAACTTAAAGCACATATCAGTAACTCCACTAATGGGATCCCAGCGACTTAATCCAAGTCACAACAGTGGACAGTAGAATGTGACAAAAAACTGTAAGAGGAACTGTGCTTTAGGCATATTGTGGTAAAGGACACTGTGGTCATGAAGAAAGTTTCAATGGCTTGATTTAGTTTCTAGAAATTCTTAACAACTATCAGACATGGTGTTTTTGGCACTTTCAGATCCTCAAATACTTGCAATTACACAGAAGACTTGACAAAGCCCCCGTAGCTAAAGTTGCACCAATAACAAGAAGTTTTGAATAACAGGGAATAATTGAAAACAATAGTATAATTTTAAGGTGAAGTGTAGGTAAAGCATTAACATATCAGAAGCATAAGAACGTGGAAAAGGAGTAAAAGCCTCAATACTTCACATATTTATGGGCTGCATTCAGCACAAGAAAAACAGCAATAGGCATTTACATTTTAACTTTCAAGTAATCACATATATTCTTACACTGTTCAAACACAAATCAAATTTCTTGTGGCCCAGACTGCCACAGCCCTTCAGTCCAATTCCATGGGTGGCAGTATATAATTTTGGAAAGTGGTTGACAGCAATAGAATTCGGAGGAACAAATTGGAGTGACATTCCAAGGGACCAGCCACCACTCTGAATCAAAGACATGACTGAAGCCACACGACCTCAGCAACTAGCAGATGACTACTTTCCACATGGCAATTAAGCGTATCCAATTAGGTGGCTCTACATGTTGCTGGGACTGACAACAAGAACTCTCTTCATTTTGGCTCAGGTCCTTAAGCTAGTCCCAAGACTCCAAAAATGACACACATCTTCAAGCTAAAACCAGGTAACCTGAACACCTCATTTTGTATGTCTCCAATTCTGAGAGGTATTTTTACTAACAGGAAAGAGGAAGGCACATCCTAGTGCCTAGTGTCATCCACTGCTACACTTTTTTTCTATGTATTCTATTACAGAAAAATCAGCTTTAGAGAATTATGATTTTCATTCCAGAGTAAGTATGTGATGGGAGAAGATACGGAGAAACCATTTGGAGGTATCCAGCCAGATGTGCAAGTTACCTTTGCTGCACAAATGGTTCTTCATTTTACAAACCACTTAGGAACAAGAAGTCTAGTTTTGTTCACCTCTCAGAGAACAAATTTCTAATTCAGCAAAAAATTCAAGTTTCAGCCTAGATCAAGTAGTCCTGGTGAACAGCGTTCAGCAGGCATTTTGAAACAGTCACACATGGAGGATGCAGGTTCTTTGCTTTCTAGCTTGAAGTGCTCTGCATATAAAATTAGAATGTTTACAGGAAGCAGAAGGAATTAAGTCTCTGCTAACTATGTGGAAGGAGACAGGGCAATTTTCTTAGAATACATGACTGCTCTTATTTTTGTGTGTTATCTATGAAAAAAGTTTGTCTACACTAAGTGAAATTACCTCTGTTTCCCACCCAAAACAACAGTGCGTAACACAACCCATTGCTTACAAATCTTGTTTGCACTAAAGATTTAGGGCAGATGAACTTGCTCTCCTCCAGCATATGCTTGAGACATGACACAGTGCTACACCACCATTGCTCTTTTTCAGTGATCAGTATTTGATAGACTGACTACATTTGTATTCCACCCCAATTAATCCAAACACACCCAATAGCTGACTAAAATTTTGCTGAATTTATGCTATTACATCAGGAAGCAATCAAGCTGTTGGGATCTGAATGTTGAAGAAAAAGATGCTCATTGTGAATGACTTCTTCTCCCCATTAAAAAAAAAAATAAACAAACAAAACTAAACCAAAACAAAACAAAAAAAATCTACATAGCTCTCAGAAGAACATAATTCTTCCTATAGCCAGCCAGACTTGCATATATTGCCAGTGATGGTGACAAAAACTGCTCCAGAGTAAAAGTGCGTGGAGGGAGGGAAACCACCAAACCACCACAACAACCATCACCCATCTCGGTTCTTCTAAGAAGATTCTAATTAATGATAGGAAAGCTCTAAACTACTATTTTAAGATAGTGACAAGCCTTGTCAGAGATTGGTGGTTTATAGGTACCTTGTTCCATGAACAAGTCTTTCACATTAGCAAGATTGCAGTCGGAATAGCATAAATCCCCTTTGAGGGATTTGCTCCATCAGAGACTGCAGAAACAGAGTTTTCACTTCATTTCACCACTCATATATAATTGGAGCGAGTGTTTTGGACTGTTTTATATACTAGATTGGGTGGGTGATGAAAAGTAAAGAACAGGTTTTGCCAGGTATAGCTGGGTGTGCACACTTTTCAAATTACAGTGCATTGTACGCAATCATTTATAGCCAAGCTACTTTGGCCATTAGCTATACTGCCACACACTTAAAGCACATCCCTCACAGGAGCATTTCTGAAACCCTGCAGTATAATTACAAAGTGTAGTTTGTAAAGTTTAAACAGCAGCCTACAGTCTGGTAGAGAGATTTTTCTCATCAGTGTTTGGCTAGAGACAAGTTAGACAGAGGCTCAAGCTGGAGGAACTCATTCAACTATGTTCTCCCCTCTCCAGAAAACAGCTACTGAAACTAGATTTGAAAAAAAAAAAAAAAAAAAAAAAAAAATCAAAAATGCCCTGAAAGGAGGGCTCATTCTCCTTACAGTACAGTCTCCAAGTGCAGAGCTACTTGTCAGACACTGTTTGTCTCCAACATCTATTTTTTCCCCCCTCTTTTCACTTTCACATTCTTCAAGCAGTTTTAGCAAAGATTTGCACAAAGTTCTGTTATATAACCTGACCGTAGGAATAATATTTCAATGTTATCTAACAGCACCACATCCTCCTAAGCACATTCCTTACCAGATGAGATTTGATGACAACCAGTCTCCCCTGTGATGGATATTAGTGATTTGTGATCTAGGTACAATCATATTTAACCCTGGAAAAAATAAGTATAGCTCCATGCCATCATATACATTCTCTTAGAAAGTACACTAAATGCAATACCTTAATTTCAAGAATTACATTAGGTGGCAGTATCCCAGGGACAAATTCTCTTACCAGAGCTTGATAAAACAGCTGCTTTGTGAGAAGGTCCTTTCGCTGTGCAGATATTATTCTCACTTCTTCTCTTCAAGGCAGGTGACACCATTTTCACCTTGGAAGCCGGTGTGCTTTGCAGTGCCATGGGGCCTTTCTTTGATGTGTTCTTCCCTTCTGCTGCCCCAGCTTTTGCAGAAGGTGTCTGCCAATAAACAAAAACACACTTTCTGGTATCTGCAATAAAATACTGATCATGCAGAAGAGGGACATGTTTAGCCATCTGCTGTCACATGGTCCAAAGGAAACAGTCAGCAGTATTATCTGTAGTTGAAAACTCCAAAAGCAATCTCTTACATGGCCTTAAGCAACATAAAAGTTTGAAGCTAGTCACTGATAACAACAAACATGCTGATGAGGTTACACACGTTATCATTTCAGGTCAGGGTTCCCACCCTGCCCCCTCTCCCCACCAAAGCTTTAATTAAATCATTTGATTACATGAACGTACCTAATCAAGATGAATTATTTACCAACCAACTACACAAGTTAGCATGCTGAATTGTTAGTTACGTTACATTATCTGAAATATCACAGCTACTGTAATAAGCTTCCTGGTCTAAGTCTTAAACTGGAAACACAGAAACAGGAAAACCCTTTCATGTTCAGGTGCATAGACAACACAAATTCAGGCACAGTGCCAGCAGAGGTTTAAGAATCACTGGTTTATATGTATCCATCACCTGCCTTTTCCCAGAATTCTTGTTCCCACTCAAAGAGGCACTAAAGCAGAACTACTCATGGTACCAAGCTAGGCCTACCAAGGCTGGCATACAAGCACCATCCACCACCTTCCTTTTTTCTGCCACTCAAGCAGGCAGGCAATGATTTGGTCATCTTGCATGCGCTTCACACTTGAATACAGTCTTCATTTACCAAAATTCACTTTACACTTACAGAATAACCTTACATGGATTCCATCTGATGACTGTGCAGAGCATTTTAGAGATTTTTTTCTAATGGATTTTCCAGCACAATTAGTACAGCAGGGTTTTCCATCCTGGCATGGCAACCTAACAAATTAAAAGCATTTCTTTCAACCTTCACTTCCAAAAGCAAGGGGTGAGAAAGAACCCAACCTTTAAAACATACCAGAAGCAGAGGGTCTGCCCTTGCTTTCATGCCCATTTAATTCTTTGATAAATAACATTAGGCATAACTCAATTTGTTCAGCACTGCTTCCAAAATGGGCATTTGCTTCTGAAGTAGTTTCCATCACCTACTAAGCTTCAGAGCTTTATCTAGACAAAGTCTGACAAAGGCTTTGGCAACACCAGTTTTACTAATAATACAAGCTGCCTCCATTTCACTGCCTTAATGTAAGACTGTTGAACTAGCAAGCAAACAGAAAGCCTCTACACAGCCTCAGGACTCCAACTCTGCATCCGTCTGATGCCTTCTCTGATTTCTTCCACCCATCTCAAAGCTTTTCCATTCTTTCCCACCATTCCTCTTCTTACAAGCTTCTTTCAGAGCATTTGAAAGCAAGACATTTCTCCTAACAGGTAGCTGACTAGCCCCAAAACACTTCCCAAACAATGAGTGGAGACATACCTTGCGGCCAGGAAGCTCACACTTTGCAGCTGGCTGACTGCCCCAAAACAAGTATATGCTTTCTTCATGAAAAAGTCTTCTTGGCTCATCTGACTGTTTTAACAAGCTTTATCTTTACTTCAAATAGATTAATAAAAATCCCAAATTATTCAAAGCACACAGTTAGAAAGCTAAAGTCCTTGACCAACTTGCTGGCCTTGGGGTTTCCCGTTGCTTGGGATTGTTAATCTATGTGCAACATTTCCGTAAGCAAGGTTAAAAAGTATTTATTTATTTTTAAATTTGCTTTAAAATGTTTTACCGGAACCAGGAATTTCTAAGTTTCATTTGAAGTTGCAATACTGCTAAAATTCTTGGTATCTATTAAAGTGCATTATATTTAAAAAAATCTTAACAAGTTATGCTGTACAGTTTTACTAGGGTGACCAAGTTAAGACTTGCATGCTTGTACTTGAAAGCTTATGACAGCTTTGTCCGAGTTAAGACTTGACAGAAAACTCTATACCATGAAATGACAGCTGAAGACATTAGGTAGTACTTGGAGTGCTTACAGTTTAGGCTAAATGTTCAGCCAACAAGTAAAACTATACTTCTCTCCCTATACTGAAAGGGCACTGGCCCCCAGAAATGCACAATTTCATTTCAAATGCATCAATAATCTACAATTACATTAGCAGACAAACTCCATTCCACAATTTCCATTCACAGCACTGCGCAATGCAGATTTCTTCCACACATGCAAACATATAATTACATTTAAAGCACTTACCAAAGGAACAGAGTGCAAGTCAAATGTTTCGTTTGCTCGATCCTTTAGTACTTCTGCTTCCAGAACTCCCATGTTGTCATGCTGCTCTTTTTCAGCTCCTGTCTGACAGAGGCTTTGAGCACTTGGCTGCATTAAAGCACTTGAACTTTCCATTTTATCATGGAGCACCCCTTTGGAGCTCTCTGCACACGTCAGTGCGGCAGAAACCAGAGAGCATGCCGAGTTGGAAGAGTTTGCTTTGCCAAGGTCTTCCGGATTCTGCTTTAATGCAGGTGTCTTTGAAGCCTTGTGGGAAGCGTTTCTGGAATGAGTTGCGGCATGTAGAACTTGGCTAGCAAAGAGATGTTTGCTAAGATGTAGCTTGTGGGGCTTATTCACAGGCAGCTCCACTTTATCTTTTCCTAAATCTATTTTCTTTTTCAGCGTTTTTATGGAAGGGGACAATTGCCTCGGGGAAACAAATGGTGAACACGATGAGGCGGTAGAGAGTTGGGGGGATTGCAGAGATCCTTTTAATGACACACTTTCTCTTGAGGGTAGCACAGGTCTGGACATAACCTTTGGCTTAACGTTTTTGAAATTAGGTTTGGGAAAACTAACTATCTCAGATTTCTTTGCCTTGGTTATTTTTGGCACAATAGAAGATCTGCCTACTGCTTTTTCTGCTATTTGACCTGGGCTAGTTTTAAGTGAAGGCTTCCTATCACGTTCTCCCAGAAGCACTTCACTGGAAAGCGGTTTAGAAGGCTTGTCTCCAAGCTCATCCACAGCTGAAGTGAAAAAAGTTGCATTTTTTGACTGCTCTTTAGGGGTTGAAGTATATAGCACAGAACTACTTTCACCAACCACAGGACTGAAGACCACAAAAGTTGTGTCACAATTTAGTTGAGGTTTAACTGTCCTCTGTGGTTTTGGTTTACTGCAGAGTTGTGCCTCAGTCGTGAAAGCCCTGCTGTTGCTATCACCAAAAGCAGCATTTCCAGGAATACTTTGTTCTTTAGTTAAACATTCACTTGTTTTCTTTGATACTTGTTTTCCATCAATAGTATTTACTGGGAGGGGGTGTACCTTGCTTACAGGTCTACTCCTCTGTGTTTCAGCAGTGGAATGTCCCATTTTGTCATGCTCAAGGATACGCTCTGGGCATTTCTTTTGCTCATCTTCACATGAACTAATGCATGGTGATAAGAAGTCCTTCCTGGGAGGATCTATACATCCAACAGCTAGTTTTGTGGACTGTATTTCCATTTTCTGTGGTTCTTTTTCAATACAATTAGTGGTTTCAGGACAGTGTTTGACATCTGCAGGGCTAAGACAAAGCACCTCAAGCTCTGAATGGGTATGTGGGCTTTGCGAAGCCACTAGCAGAGAGGAGAAATAAGGCATTTTTGCTGGACCAACTGCATTAAATTCCTCTTTTGGATATTCACTGCCAGAAGATATTAGTGTTTTCCTCAGACACACGTCTTCTCTTTGATCCGTTCCCAATGTCCCCCCCATACCAGTAGCACCTAGTGTGCTCACGTGGCAGGGCACCCCATCTTCTGTCACAGGTTGTGCCTTTTGCTCTGAAGCAGCAAGAGGCAACATACAGTTAAAGTCAGTCTGATTGTAAGGCACCAACTGCTCAACACTTGGATTTTGCATTTTTGCCATAGCAAGGTTATCTTTCAGCAAATGTGTTTCGTCCAGGTCACAGTTCAAAGCACACACATAAGTCTGGTCAGCCGCTGACGATCTGCACAGGGCATCTGCATCTCCCAGTAAAGCTTCTGGGCAGTTAGACTCACCAGGGGCTTTCTGCAGATCAAGTGCTTCAGTACATTGCTTTTTAAAAGGAATACTTTTGAAGTCACACTCATCCTCAGCATTGGTATCATAGTCATGCTCTGTCACTACATTTTGGTCTGTCTGCATCTTGGTGGCACAGCTTTTTGGGCAAAGTGGAGCTTTTCCACATGCGTAGTTATTCCCGTTTTCATCACTTATAAGTAATGAAGACTTCAAGCCATTCTTTGCTTTTTCATCTGACTTCTCAATATTCATTTTGGAGGATAAGTTTTAAACTACTTTCATTTTATATTCATTTAAAATCCAAGAGAATGCAGATTCTTCTGAGCTTTGCAGAATAAACAGCTTTTCCCTGGAACACACCAACTGTCCCGCAAGACACTCAAACAGTTGTTTTTATGCTTGCCCAGAATATTCAAAGGTTCTAAAATGAAGAAGAAATGAAAAATGGTTAGTCAAACCAGGATCACATTTTCAAATATTCACCAATGACTGCACTGGGTAATAACTAGTTTGCAAGAAGACAAGTAGTAATTCTTGACTTTCTCCCTCGAGCATGAGAATTAAATCCTCAAAGTAGAGGAACAAATATGAAAGTCACAGCAGGGGAGCAAAATATACATACTTATCAAAAAACATTATCTAAAAGGTAAAATAAAGCCAGCACAATGGCATGGGAAGTTCCTAAGAGCAAAAGCATGCCTGTTGAGATTTGAGCAAAAACTTCAACTTCTTATTTTTCTCAGCTGGAAACAGGACTTGAGCAACTATATTCAAAGCTTTTCAAAGCCAGCAAAGGTATAAAAGTTTCCGAGACAGGCTGTATGGTCTATTAACAGTTTGGACACAAATGCAACTCAGGCAAAGAGACCATTCCAGAAGGACCCCAGGAGGTTTTTTTGTTTGTTTGTTTGCTCTGGACCAGAAGGGAGATGTCTCTAGTCCACAGCTTTTTCTTTATGGGGAACTAGATTTAAGCACCCAGTAAAAAAGACCATGGACAAGGAAGCAGTGAGTCATCCCAATCGCACATTCCTGCCTCCCTCCAACTCCCAAGAAAACCAAAGCTAATCCTTTAAACAGCTGCACTAGAAAGACTCTGCTTCAATTCTGCTGGTTTCTTAAGGCTGGGCTAGATTCTTTTTAGTGGGTGACGCTATAAGTCAGTACCTATGGAGGCAGGAACAATATTAGCACCCTTATTTTAATCTGTTATTAACAAAGATTCCAGAGTTCTTTCAAAACGTCTTCCCTGGAGGCAGGACAAGAGCCTGCCCTGAGTAATTTTCCATTGATTGAAAAGTCAACCACAGAATCAGCTACTAAAAAGTATTTGCAAACTTGTCTTTCATTCCTGTTCTGGCACATTAAAACTAGCTTCTACTTGTTGGGACTCTACACCAGAATACATTCGCTCATTGAGTCTGGCAACATCAAGTTAAAAGGATCTCATTTTGATTTAGCAGTAGTTCAGATCCAAATAGCATTTTTACTTCTTTCAAGAGCTCCCTCACAACTGAGAATAAGGAGCTCCAGTATGCCACGAGCGAGACGGCAGGAGCAAGAAGCATGACAACATGGTAGCGGCTTGCAGTGCAGGATTGCTCATCAGGCCAAAACTTGACATACTACAGACAACAGAGTATGCTGCTACTCAATCAATGCTCGAGAAGCTCTGAGAATAAAGTTTGTTTTGTGACCACGTATTAGGAAAATAAAAAGAAATAAAAAACAGACAAGCGAGGATTAAAGCTACATATACAAGCGTGTACATGTAGCTATCAAAGTCTGCTCGCTCAATACTTTCACACAGCCAGAACATGCAAAAGAATCCCTAGTGATTCATCTATTTGTAAGCAACATCTCGCTTTAGTAATAATTTCATGACCACCTAGTCATTTTAAATATTGTTTTACAGTCACATTTAGAGCCAAAAATTAACTTGCAAAAGAACAGTTAAACAGGTACTTTTAAGGATTAACTGCCTTGCATATAAGTGCACAGTAGATTCATTAATAGTAGTCCTTAACATACTGACATTCTTATTTTGCAAGAAGCACTTCATGTTATTCATCAGGCTATGAAACCATTTGCTGGTGATGCTAGACTCTTTCAATTCAAACCTTGCAATACCAGATGAAATGAAAGATTAACCTCCACCAGTACCTGCTCTATAGTGTTCACGGGCAGCAGACACACAGAAAAGCAGCTGCTCTTCCCAGGAAGACTCCCTCCCCATTCCTGAGACTAAGTGGTTCAGCTAAACGGAACACTAACAACCCTGCATTGACGTGGCCTTGCATGAGCAGGCCTTGCATCCCCCCGGCACTGCACGAGGGGGCTCAGCTGCCTCGTGCCCTCAGGAGAGCTCACCTTGCCAGACCTCCGCTGCACGCTCCAAATGCCTCAACACGGCAAACAAGTCCTATTACTGAGACCTAAGCTCTCCCTTCCTCCATAGTTTATACATAATGAGAGCTTAAGAGAACAGAGACATCATTTGGGGGGAAAAGGGAAAGGAATTTGGCAAGTGGATTCTTTTTAAAAGGTCAAGGTTTTTAAAAGGTCATAGTTACCTTGGTCAAATCCAAGGTAACTATACTAGAGCTGTGACCCCTCCTCTGTGCATGCTTTAAGTTCTGTAATTTCTATTTATCTGTAAAGGGAGAGGGAATAACTTGATAGTGACTAGCTTAGCACTGGGTAAATAGGAATTAAAGCATAAATTACTATGAATAATTCAAGCCACAGACTTACAAATTAGTACAAGGGTGCAAGTTCACATTAGTGTCAGAATGCAGACAGCAATAATTTACGTTTTTCCTGGTACTCCATTTGGAACTCAACTCTTTCACCCACACAGTGTTTATTCAAACCCACCAGCTATGTTTGTGCACTCTCTACGAAGCAGAAGAAAAAAGCCTGAAAGAAGAGGGTGTGCCCAGACACGGAAAGGCTGCCCAGAAGTGCTCTCACCACCTGAGCAGACTTTGACACTAGACAAACATTTCGGAGTCTGTAATTCAGCAGAAAACTATTATGCTGCTACGATTGCCATGGTCAGTCAAGTCAAAAACCATTTAAACTGTATCTGAACATACCTTTAAGACATTTCATATATGAACATGCTACACTACAACCAGTTCAACTGACCTCATTTGAGAGCTCAGTCAATGAAGTCAATATTCTCAACATATTCTTCTGAAAGCAGAGCAAGCAGCACACAGGCCAGGATCTACTCAATTCTGCCATGATGAGGGCTCCCCTCGGCACGCTTCATGCAAGGTCACACAAGCATGTTGTATTAGAAGGTACGAAGAAAACTGGCAATTTCAGGTATAATACTGAATCTGCACAATATCATGATTTCAGTGCTCCTTGCACAGCCTTAGTTTCAGATGCTGAGCAGTCTGTTGCTATTTCAAGCAGTTATAGAAGAGGACCACGTAAGCTCCTAAAGCAACTTTTCTCCAGGCATTGCTAACATTACAAGTACAATATACTCTGAACAGCAAATCACATGAAATGCTCATATGCCAACATGACTGCTTAAAAAGAAAATATCAGTATTAGTACTGTGAAGGTTTTATAAAGATAACACAGAAGTCCCTTTGCCACTCTGGCGGATTTTGCATGTTTTACTTAAAACCATTTTAAAATGAAAATCCCTGGGGCATCTGCAGTGGGAAGATGTGTACAAGTTATGGTCACGAGCCATCACACACGGTGGGCTGAAAGAGCAGGATCTCCCAAAGGCACAAACCATCAGCAGGTCACACAGGCTTCAACACGCTCAGGTCCAAGTGTGCACATATTGGGAACCAAGGAGCATAAATTTCAAGCTGTTAAATTTTGGCACTGAAGTAGAGAAGAAATCAACTGAGCAGCCAGGTTCAGAGATCAGACATATTGAGGTTATGCAAAAGGTAGCAATACTGAGCCCATACAACACACTACCTACCTTGTCAGACTACCACAAAATAAAGCTGTTGACTTGGAGCACTTGCTCCAAACTATTCCTCACAGCCTTCAGATGCAATATCCTCACAGAAGATGTTTTTATACAAATGTAATCAGATCATTAATTTTAACCTTGAACTCTAAGTTATTTCAAGCTCCCTTGACCAGGAAGTTCATTTGCATTTCCCCCCAGCTTTGTTTTACAGCTAACACCGAGAGCAGACTCATGAAATAGAAGTACACACGTCAGTGCAGGCAAATACCAGCTCGCACGGTACAGCAAATAAGCAAATTTGTTTGAGATTAAGCACACAATCAAATACAACCAAAATCATCTACCTTAATGTGCCCATCAGAATTCCAGTAGGCGTCTCACTTACCCTGGTACTCGCTGCTGCACTTTCACCAAGCATTCATTTTTCATGTCATTCAGACAATACTGATTGCTAAAAACAGCAGAAGACTTCTCAGTGGGTTTTCAAAATATGGTACAAGACATGACTGCACTCATGGTCGATTATAAACTTAGTTAGCATTAATTTGACAATCCCAATCAAACACAAGTTATACATGCTTCTCCATGAAGACAGAGTTTACTCTTTGCATGTAGGAACTTATAAGAGAAATATCGAGTATTATCTCCTGGCTAAATAGAAAACAGCAATAAAATCCAAGAAAATCTTAACCTAGAAATTGATGATTATCAAAATAGAAATTTTTAGTAGAAACACATGTTCTTGTGCAAATAAGGATCAGCCTTCTCCCTGGTTTTGTTTTGACCTGATAAAACTAGGAAAAAAAAATAAAGACAATAACCCAGGACTATGGATAGGAAGGTCAATGTTCAAGTTCATCTTTTGGAAAGATTTTGATTAAATAGCAGAGCACAAACAAGACAGACCACAAACAAGGCAGACCATCTGAAATCCATCTCCAACAATATTTTTCAGTGTTTGAATTCTTTAAGCAGAGGGATTGCAAATAGTGCTCACGAGAACATTTATTGAAATTTCAAGACATCCAAATTTAAACTGTCAGCCAAGAAGATTCACAGCAATTATTCCTCTGTTACAAGCCTGAAGTGTTCAAGGTTTACAAGGAGAAGTAGTAATAGATTATGAAGAAATTCTTTCTGAATTCATGGTAAGTTGGATAGCCATTTATATACAGCAAATAAGAAGAACTTCAGAAGCTGAGCAAGTAAGGTTTGTGCTCTTTAAGACTATCATAAATTTAAGAGACAGTCTTCAAAAGATAAAAGCTTTCCTTAAATCTCCCATCCTATAGCAGACCCTATTTACAACATTCTTTATGCAGCTGAGTTTACAGGGTGTTAAATTGTGTGCACTAATCCTCTGCAATAAAGAACTCACTTCAAG